CTTGCTCACACCTTGGTACTGGGGTTGAACTCAGAGCTTTGTGCACACACAAGTGCTTTACCACTGGCTCCACCTCCAGCCCATGTTTGACTTCTTAACATTTCCAGATATTTATCACCAATGGCTCAGTGTGTTGTTTCTTCCATCTACACTTGTCACTTCCCCTTTTCTTTTTCTTTTTGTACCAGGGATCAAGGCAGGTGGTGGCACCACTGAGCTAAATCTCCATCCCCGTCACCTCCCTTTTTCATGTTGTGTCTTAAAGCCCAGCCCAGATACTTCCTGTGTTTCCTGTGTTTCCATTGCTATTGTTATTTGCCCTAGTTTTCCATAGTTAGAATTATTTGCCTTCTTTTATTCATCTTCCCTTTCTCAGGACCTAATATAGACCTTGGAATACAGTAATAAATTAAAAGATTTAAGAGTATCTCATAGTCTAGGGAATTCTAGGACTAGGCCATATTCTAAATCAGTTTACACAGTTCACTCAGAAGTGGAAAATTAACAGGAAGTGTGCATTTTGTTTTGGAGTTTGTCCATCTGTAGAGTCTTAACTTTAGAAAGCTTCGTCAGATGTACGTAGGTATCCATTCCTTCAGATATTAACATGGAAACTTTGCATCCCATGTGGACTTTTTGATAGAGGGTCATGCCAAAGCAGTGACTGTCCTGTTTCCACAGAGAATGAGGCAGCACTCTGAAGCAGCCGGAGAAGTCCTGTTGGAAAGAAAAGGCTGTGCGGGAATAATAACACTGAACAGACCCAAGTTTCTCAATACGCTGACTCTTCATATGATTCGGCAGATTTATCCACAGATAAAGGTTGGTCATTTTCTGAAAGTATCTGTGTGATCCTTATTGAAGCCTGTCTCAAGAAAAATAAACCGGTGCAGTGTATAGTACTAGAGTACTAGAACATTGGATCTCACCCAGGCCCTGTGGTTATCCTCCAATACACTGGGAAGAGAGGAAGTTTGTTGCCTTCCACTATTACTCAGCTGACGTTTCACATTTCTTCTTGTTTTCTGCTACTCTTCTCTGACTTTTAACCATGGCGTTCGCTTTGCCTCTTAGAGGTGAGTGTACAGATCTAATCTGCTTCCATGACAGCCTTTTGGTTGAAAGACAGCTTGTTTTCTTTCCCCAGTCTGGAAATTGAGCCCAGGGCCTTCACACCAAGCTACCTCCCTACCCGTTACATTTTTTTGGACAGGGTTTCACTAAGTTGCCCAGGTGGGGCTTGAATTTGAAATCCTGCTGCCTTCAAGAGTGCTGGAATTACAAGCATGCATCATGTACCCAACTTGAAGCGAACTGTTTTAAAACTGTTAGGTTTACTTTTTCTTATAGAAGGCCATAAACTTCTAAGTGAATTGTATGAGACAGTAAAAAATGTAGGGCTTAAAAGTCAGACTACTTGTGTTTGAAACTCATACTCAGACTTACTACATAATTTGGAAAAGTGAATCTCTTCGTGCCTGTCTTTGCTCAGCTGTGAAATGAGGATGATGATCTTTCATAGCATGGTTATATAGATGAAGTAGTATTTGGAAGTACTTAACATTGCCCACCATGTGGGTGTGGCACAAATACCAGTCCTCTCCTGACCTTTGCTCCTTAGTTCTTGACAAGTCTCGTCCATTCTAGAGCAGAAGAAAGTAGAAACTCCCAAGTTAGAATAACATTTTTGTTATCGTTAGTGTTGCATTTTTTTGAAAGTTGCATCTTTCTGGCTACGTTTCTTTGGGTATTTATGTTTTTATTCTCTTAAGTATAGAAACTCTATTAATTTTTCTGATTTTTCATTTGGATCATTGTTCTAGTCTTTTGAATTTGATTGGCTCTTAATTTTTTCAGCTATCTTTGTTTTTCTTTTTTGTGTTTTGGTGATGGTGGGGATCAAGCCCAAGGCCTCACAAACTAAGAAAGTGAGCACTCTACAGTTGAACGTCCCCAACCCCATTCTGCTTATTAACTGTCCTTAATTAATCCCAGCTCATTTGGATATTTAATCAATATCATAAGTGATTCCATTCTGATACTTACAAATATTTCTGTAAAGTCCTATATCACAGTAGAAAGGCTGCCGCTCTATTTGTCAGCAGCATTTGGGTTGATTTGTTCACCGCATTTATAAGTGTAAGTAATATAGTATGAGTAAATGCTTTACTCATCTTGGTCTCAGAATATGGCAGATATTTCAGATGTCATCATGAAATTTGGATCATAAAATATTCTCATCTAGCAGCATTGGTAGACTAGACTCTACTTTATCTTAGAAAAGAAATGGAATGATTGGAAGGAACAGAACCCATCCCCCTGTGTGTGCTTTCTACAAGGCGGGAGATAGGTGCCATGCAGATGTGTGTGTGTGCGCACGTGTGTATTTGTGTGTATGGATACATCTCCATTGAGTTTGTATTCACAACATGCTTGTACCATCTTCTTTTACATTTGACAGAAGTGGGAGCGAGACCCTACAACTCGCCTGATCATTATAAAGGGAACTGGAGGAAAGGCTTTCTGTGCTGGGGGCGATGTCAGAGGTAAACTATTTCCCTGCCCCATGTAAATGTTTTTCCTCCACAGGAACTGATAAAATATTGGCAGGTTTTTAAGGTAACTTGTAATTTGCTTTATTTTTTAGAGTGTCTTGTTACAAGTTATTTCTTTTTTTTTTTCTCTCTCATTGAGTTTATTGGTACATTTTAGGTGTACAGTACAGTTACATTCATTATTGGGATCTTGTACCTCTACATGACAGGTCTTGGTTCTCATTTTTTCCCCTTATCCCTGTCCTCCCTTCACCTCCTCACAAGTTATTTCTTAAAAAATTAGAAAAATGTAGGACTTAATTAGAAAATGAGAATAGGGATTTTTTTCCCCTTTACTATACACGTACTCCTCTGAAATTTAGTTCTGTCTGTGAATCATCGTAAAATAAAATGTCCAGTTGTGGTAGATGGGTCCACTTTTTATTTTAGAGTAGACGATCTTAAGGAGTTCTGTTAATCATGGCCATGTTGGATAACTTGCTGTTTTCCCAGTGTGATGTGCTCACGTAGGTTTTCACATGCTTTCCATGTATTTATGACCCAGAGGAGGCACCCACTTTAGATGCCAATTGCAAGCCCCAGGTTGGGTGACCAGTGCTTCAATGCTGGTTCCCATAACTCACTCCTTGGATTCACTTAATTTTCAGGTCTTTGGAGAACATTTACAGTTAGTGCTTTATTGTACAGATGAGATGCAATTGGCAAGGTGTAGGGAAAGGGCATGGAGTTCTATGCCCCCTTTCAAAAGGCGATGTATTTGACTATGCTGAACTTTCTAAACCCGGTCCTTCTGGTTTTTAGTTCATTGCAGAACACGGTGGAAGCGTGAGGCAGTGTGATGGACTAGGAGGGTCCAGTGAGCTGGTCTGTTCAGATTCATCTGCTGCTGTGCAGAACCCTTCCTCCTGGTGGGGAAGGACTCCTCAAATGAGGGTCTCGTCATCTGCTCTCAGACAAAATGAGTCAAAGTGACTAGCTCCGCGCCAGGAGGGCAGGGAAAGATTAGAGTATATGGCTTGCTTTAAGGAAAAGTTATATTGACAGAGCCACGAACTGGATGAAAATAAAATCAGCCAAGGAAACAAAATCATTATAACTCAGTAAATTAAGAAGTTTGTCTTGAAGCTTTGACATTGGACTGTGGATCTCTTAGGATGTCTATGGCATGGGTAACTGCAAAACTTTAACAAGCAATTTGGGAATCCCTCTTCCCTCCAGTACTTTTAATTCCCTCGTAGTACTTTTAATTTATTGGACCACTTTGACTAGAAAATACTTTTTTGATTTATAATTGCTCATTTCCTTCCTTCCTTAGTAATCTCAGAAGCTGCAAAGGCAAAACAGGAGCTGCCTCAGTATTTTTTCAGAGAAGAGTATATGCTGAACAATGCCATTGGTATGTGTGCTCTGGGAGCTTGGAAAGTGGAATCAAGAGATGGGTGGACAGTATACAGTATGATTTAAGGTATAACTGATAGGTGTGTGTGATAATGGGGATTGAGTCCATGGCCTACGCTACATCCCCAGTCTTTTATTTTAAACAAGGTTTTGCTGAGTCACAAAGTGGCCCACACTGGGCTCTAACTTGTGACATTCCTGCCTCAGCCTCCCAGAGTCCTGGGATTACAAACATGTGCCACTACGCTGGCCTCCCATAGGCTTTCTTATGTATGTGTTTGGCATAAGTAAAGCTAATTAAACTATTCTGGCTGCTTATTTCAGAGCAATTACACTTTAATATTTTTAGGTTGTACCTAACTGGTGTTTCTCATAAAATTAATATGAAAATATGGATTTGTGACCAGACAGCTAGCTTTCTTGGTAAACAAAAAAGTTGAGTTCCTGATTCCTGTGTAAAATAAAGTATCACTTCTTAATTTTTGAGTAACTCTTGCGTGAAAATTGCTTTATAGTAAGATTTTAGTTTTCAGTGGAAGCAAAGCAGTATTTTATTAAATGTGTTTCAGTCCAGAAAAATAAACACTTTTTTTTTTTTTTTGCTCAATGTTGTAAAATTTAAAGGAAATATAATACTATCAGTTTTTAAATTATGGTTTAGCCATTTTGTGATTTTTTTTTTTTCCTCAATAACTTTTTCTCTCACCAAAAGCAACTATTGCATCAGTTTATATTGTATTCTCTTAAGACTGTATATTTTGACTACATGTTTATTGACTTTGTGTTTTTGAAAAATCCGTAAGACTTGTGATGGTGTGAAAGCTCTGCCCGGTCTGTGGAGAGCTTCCTTCAGGGCTCAGGTTGTGCTCTCGCTTTGGCCAGGTAGTCTGCAGTAGCGCAGCCTGCAGTCCCCAGGCAGCCGTGCTGTCACAAGGGCCAGCAGCCGGCGCTCTCGGTGTGCTGGTGGCACAGCTGTGATGTTGGTAGGTTAGATGTGTCATGCATTACCGACTTACAGTATTTTCCACTTATGGTGGTTATATACTTTGTTTTTAAATTCTTGGCCAAAATATGACTTTCTAATATACCTGTCATGACTACTACTGGACTTTTGTAATCTTCATATGAATTTAAAAATTGTTTTGTATGATTCCCCAAAGGATCCTATGGCGATTTTCATTGGACAGTGATTGTGGATTTAATTTGAGGCAAACTGACACCTTTGATACTGCGTCTTCCCTCCCTGTGTTTTATCTCTGTTTATCTCACCTGGACTTCATTGGATTTTAGTTAAGTTGCTGAATTGTGCAGTTATCACCATGTTAGCTTAGGACATTTTCTACCAGTTTCCTTTCATGTTCTTTCTTAATGTCCTATAATTTTTCTTTTTTTTGGTACCGGGGATTGAACTCGGGCCCTTGTGCTTGTGAGGCAGGCACTGGGACCACTGAGCTAAATCCCCAGCCCATGTCTTATAATTTTTCTTGATGAAGATCGTTTAAAATTTTTTTAAGATTTATTCTTGGGTAGCTTGTGGTTTTTGTTACTGCATTTAATGGTTATTTTCATATTATATTTTCTAAAGTTGTTGTTTTTGGCATCTAGAGGTGCTTTTGATTTTAATATATCCAGCAACCTTACTGAAACTTACTTTTTTTTTTTTTTTTTTT